CCACATCAACAATGGAACAAGGCTTGATGGAGAACGAGCGCCTCCTGATGACAGAATCACTCTTCAAGGAATGGATAATAACAAACTTCGGTGAGTTAAAAGAACATGTTGTAGCCCAACGTAAAGAAACTAGGAACTTTGACAAAAGGCTTGATGAAATCCTATTGAGAATAGACAACTTAGAGAGGAGTATTAGTGAATTAATGGAACTGAAGAATACAATACAGGAACTCCGAGAAGTATGCACAGGTTTAAACACTCGAATTGTTCAAGCAGAAGAAGGGATATCAGAGGTCAAAGTCCAACTTAATGAAATAAAACGTGAAGAAAAGATTAGAGAAAAAAGGATAAAAAGGAATGAGCAAAGTCTCCAAGAAATGTGGGACTATGTGAAAAGACCAAATTTACGTTTGATAGGTGTACCTGAATGCGACGGAGAGAATGAATCCAAGCTGGAAAATACCCTTCAGGATATTATTCAGGAAAATTTTCCTAAACTAGCAAAGCAGGTCAACATTCAACCCCAGGTAATACAGAGAACACCACAAAGATATTCCTCAAGAAGAGCAACCCCAAGGCACATAATCGTTAGATTCACCAGGGTTGAAACGAAGGAGAGGATACTAAGGGCAGCCAGAGAGAAAGGTCGGATAACCCACAAAGGCAAGCCTATCAGACTTACAGCAGATCTCTCAGCAGAAACTCTACAGGCCAGAAGAGAGTGGGGGCCAATATTCAACATCCTCAAAGAACAGAACCTTCAGCCCAGAATTTCATATCCAGCCAAACTAAGCTTCACAACTGAAGGAAAAATAAAATCTTTTATGAACAAGCAAGAACTCAGAGATTTTATTACCACCAGGCCTGCTTTACAAGAGCTTCTGAAAGAAGCATTACACACAGAAAGAAACAACCAGTATTAGCCTTTCTAAAAATACACCAAAAAGTAAAGAGCACCAACATAAAGAAGAATTTACACCAACACATGGATAAAACAGCCAGTCAACATCAAATGGCAGTAACCCTAAATTTAAATTGACTAAATTCCCAATCAAAAGACACAGCCGAAACCCAACGGCATGTTACATCCAGACCTGTTTCACATGCAAGGATACACAAAGACTCAAAACAAAGGGATGGAGAAAGATTTACCAACCAAATGGAGAGCAAAAATAAATAATAAATAAATAAAAAGCAGGAGTTGCAATTCTTGTATCGGATAAAATAGATTTTAAAGCAACAAAGATATAGTGGTAAAAGGATCAATGCAACAACAAGAGCTAATGATCCTAACACCCAGATAGGAGACTTAGATTCAATGAGACAAAAAATTAATAAGGATATCAAGGACTCGAACTCAGATCCAGAACAAGTAAACTTAATAAATATTTATAGAGCTCTCCACTTCAAATACACAAAATATACATTCTTGTCAATACCACATCACACCTACCCATTAGTTTAAATGAAACATTGATTGGCCATTATTAATACCCAGTTTTTTTCAAAATAAAGCAATATTTCCATTTACTCTCCCTCTTTCTCTTCCTCTTTCTTCCTCTCCTTTACTTTTTTTTTTTTTCTTTCCTTCTCAAAAAAAAAAAAAAATGAATGAACTATTGATGGATTGCAGTACTATGGATGTACCAAATATAATTATATTGAGTGAAAACAGTCTCAAAAGGATACATACTGTGTGAGTCTATAGAAATTATGATGTATAATTATCAAGATGGGGAACAGTTTAGTGGTTGATGGGTTAGGGAAGGAGGTAGTGAATTTGGCTATGAAGTGTTCCAGTGATAATACAGCTAAGTGTCTTGATTAGGGTGGAGTTACATAAGATGACCTGAGTGACAAAATTGTATAGAGCACAGGCATAGATACAAGATTATGTCTATAATTTGAATCAGTGTCAGTTTCCTGGTTCTGATGGTGTAATGTAGTTATGCAAGATGATACATTTGGGAAAGGCTAGGTGAAGGAGGGCACAGGACCTCCCTGTATATTCTTTTCACCTTTCTGTGGATCTATACTATTTCAAACTAAAAAGTTTAAAAAACTTCAGAGTAACTCAAATTCTTGTATTTCTCAAATATGAAAGGAAGATACATCTCTAGCAATACTCAGTTCACTACCACCCACTCCACTTAACTTTGTAGATATTCCCATAAGCCTTTTCAGAATTTATATCTTGCATATTTGCCAGCACTGCTTATTTCTTGTTTTCCTTCACCACTCCAACTCTTTGACGTGTGTGTATGTATGTATGTATTTATGTGTGTGTGTGCGTGTGCGTGTGTGTGTGTGTGTGTGTATCCCAAAAGCTCAAATACTGATAAGCTATTGCAAGGACTTTCTTGAAGAGGGGAGCAAACTGAGTGAGTGAAGGCCTTTTGTCATGCTGCAAAAGAAGAAAGCCAGGGCATGCTCATACAGTAAGACTTTTTTACTCTGGTACACCCAAGAAGTAGATGTTCTTATGCCTAAACTTAATAATTTTAAGCAGTTTTGTTTTAAGATCAGCAATGTTTATGTGATATTGACAAAAACATGAACTGGCAGATTTCAGAGTCTATATGTATTTCATGTTCTTAACTAAAATATACTGCCCTTCCACCATTATAATGCACTCTAATGAGTGCTACTGTGTGAGGTATACATAAAGAAATGGAATGGAAGGTCAGAGGAAGCACACTTAACTCCCTAGAGAAGGTTTTTAAGAGGCTTACAGGGTGAGATACTTGGTTTGAGTTTTGGAATATGAGTAGAGTTAGCCATCTTAAGAGAATGAGTGAGATCATGATACAGTCTACAAACCACAAATATTTGTTATAGCTATAATGTAGGATTTATGATGGACCAGTGGCAGAGGTGAGACTAGAAATGGCTAGATCACAAATGGCTTTAGCTGCCATTCAATAGAATGTGGATTAAAGTCTGAAGATAATGGTAACCATTGAAGGATTTCTGTGGGATTTGATGTGAAAGAGAAGGGTTACTCTCAGGGCATTATAGAGAATGGAATTGTGGGATGTGAGACTAGAGGTAAGATAAGTTGGGAAACTCTTTTACCAATTTAAGTCAAAAGAAAAGAGGCTGAGCTAAGACAGAAACTGAAATAATAAATTATAGAATTATTGGGAGATAGAATTGGTAATTTTGACACATTCGAGTATAGTAGGTAAGACGCAACTATAATTCCTAGTGTGCTGACTTGAGTGGCTGATCATGTTCAGTAACTGAACTGGGAATAAGATTATGTAGTAAAAAGGATAGGGCCGGGCACGGTGACTCACGCCTGTAATCCCAGCACTTTGGGAGGCTGAGGCGGGTGGATCACGAGGTCAAGAGATTGAGACCATCCTGGTCAACATGGTGAAACCCCATCTCTACTAAGAATACAAAAAATTAGCTGGGCATGATGGCGCACGCCTGTAATCCCAGCTACTCAGGAGGCAGAGGCAGGAGAATTGCCTGAACCCAGGAGGTGGAGGTTGCGGTGAGCCGAGATTGCGCCATTGCACTCCAGCCTGGGTAACAAGAGCGAAACTCCATTTCAAAAAAAAAAAAAGGATAAAGTCAGGTTTATAAATTATCTGAGGTAGCTTTGCTGCATAAGAGTGGAGTTGCTCAGATAACAGTTTAACATACACAGAAACCTGTAGTTAAAGTGAAAGGGGCTACCGGGTTGGAAATCAGCAGCATATGTTAAAGCCTGGGGATGAGAAGAGAAGGAGGGCCAGAAAATGAAACTCTAGAAAATATTGACATTCAGCAACGAGCCAAGGAGAGGAAAGCCTGTGAGAAATGGTGACCATTGGAAGAACTCAAGAGAGAGTGAATGTCATTATAAATATCAAAAAAGAAGAGAGACTTTTCAAAAATGTGTTAATTAGAGAACATTTATATAGTGGAGTGTTATAAATAGTATATAGTCACTTAAGAATAGTGTTTGTAAGGAGTATTAAATGGATGTGGGAAGAGACTTAGGATATAATATTATCTGGATAACTAGTAAAATGCCAGTTTTATAAAAATAAACATGTATGTATTATACATATGCAGAGAAGGAAATTCTCAGATGCAGAATTATAAATGATTCACATTTTCTTTATGTTTAAATAAATTTTCTATAATGCGCATATGTTATGACAGAAAAAATACATATGTAAAGTGTAAATTAAGTGGATTCAGTCAAAACAAATTTTAATTTCCAGTGGAAATGTTAAATGCTGAAATCACTCAAAAGAGTTTATTTGAATTGTGTAGCAGGGAGTCATTGGTGACTTCAGAAAATTTTCATCATAATGGGATCATAAACTAGATTGTCATGAGCTAAAAAGTGACTGGGAAGCAGGAAAATTGAGATGATGACTATAAAAAGCACGAAGGCGTTTGACAGGGAAGTGGGACTAGAGTTTTTTTAAGGGAGGAACTTGAAGCATGCTTGTATGCTAACGGAAGAAAAAGTATATAAACTATGTTCAAAAATGTTTGTGTTTGGGTACAACCATTTGCAGTATAGTAGCTGAACCTGCCTGAGTGCAAAGAGTTTGAGTAAGATCTCTTCATTAATATACAACACATTCGTCAAATTCAGAAAAAGTGATCTCAAATCTCTTACTTTATATGTGTTTAGTATATATACAGCCATATGTTGAAATGGATTGGCTGTTTGTAGAAGAAAATTTTGGTTTGGAGTAGCTAACCTCCAAAGCAGTGATTAAAAAGAAAACCCTCTTAAATGAGTAGTAATTCAAAGATAGGTGGTCTCTATTTTGAATAATTATGTTTGGGGCTTAAATGCTTCCTTCTGTTCTCACTGAAGATACATTTCAAGTTGGCATAGGAAAATGCCAGGGTTTGTTACCACAGTTTATCATCAAGAAATGATCAGTATTTGCCAAAAGAAATAAAGTAGCACCTGGATATTCCTTGGTAAGATAATAATGTAGCCATAGTCATTCTTTAAACTTAGTACATTAAATGATAAACAGGGAATCCTGCAAAACCTGGCAGCTATATATGGAGGCAGGCCCAGCTCTTCAAGAGGAGGGAAGCCAAGAAACAAAGAGGAAGAGGTATGCCTCCCGCATGTTCGCTACCTCCATCACATAGCCGTTTTTGAATTTATTGCCTTCTTTTCTTGCATGGTTTAAATTCTTAACAATTATTTGGAGATTTTGTAGGTCTAGAGGGACCTGTTAATATATTTTTGACTGACATACTGTGTCTTAATTTGCCCCGTAACTTATTCAATATTATGATTTCAATTTTTTTTCTTTTGATTAAATTAAAAATTTATAATTTTATGATGTATTTCTTCCTTTGCAGAAATAAATTGTTCTAAATTAAACACTTGAAAGCTAATATTACATTTCCATTAACCAGATTTCAGAACTTTTATTTATTGTATTCAAATTAACACTGTTCATCAAATTTTTAAAAATTTATCAGTAAAAATGTCAATACCTTTACTTTTACATTATTATGTAGGGGTTTTTGCCTCTTTCTAGGTTTATCTGGCACGACTGAGGCAAATAAGACTACAGAATTTCAATGAGCGCCAGCAGATTAAAGCCAAACTTCGTGGTGAAAAGGTAGGTTGAAAAGCAATTTTTTCAAAGAAATTGAATGATACTGTAATAGATTAACATTTAAAATGCTGTGCGATTAACAACACCACCAAAAAATACTGATGACATTGGAAGTTCAAAGATCAGAAAACTACACATAAAGTAAATCTTATTCTTATGTATATGATTTCAGATTAGTAAGACCATTTGTCCCAGAAGAATTCAGAGAGGAAAATATAACTAGTATTCATGGGACAATTAAATGCATTTTATATCATTATCTTTTTGTTCCATTGTTCTTAAAGGCATGATAGTTGTAGAGAGTTCAGTTTTAGCTTTAGGAGAAAACTTACAGCCTTAAATGATTTCCATTTTATATTTTTAGATTTTAGTTTATTCATTGTTATCTTTCACAGAACTCTGCTCAATTTGATGATTCTATCCTAAGTGATTTGTTTGTCTACTTATTTTGTAGAAAGAAGCCAATCGTGAAGGACAAGAAGGAAGTGAAGAGGCTGTCATGAGGCGCAAAAAAATCGAATCGCTGAAGGTATAGACTAGAAATGATGCAGGTTTTCTTAGAGAACACTGAAAGCTGAGATAAAAATTGTGTTCCTAAGTTTTGCAGTTAAATCACTTTATTGTCTTCCTTTGATTTTTCTTTCCTCTTTATCTTCTACTTTTTATTTTCTAAAAATAATATTTTTCTCTTTTTGTGTTATTTTTATGAAGATAGATAAAACCATGGCATAAATACATGAAACTATCATACAAGTAATCTTGAAAAAAATGGTAGTCTTAAAAATGAAAAATACACAGATATACATTTCCATGAAGGTAAATTAAGTCTATGTATAATTGTTTTAAATTTTTACATTTTAATTTCCATTCAAATACACCTGCATTTATTTTCACTCAGCAAATATTTATTGAACACCTGCTGTATGTCAAGGCTGGTTCTAGGTGCAAGAGATTTAGAGTGAGCTTACATTTTTATTCTAAGACCACATGCACACTTCTTTTTTGGCTAATAAGTAAATACCTTCATAGACCTGGCCAAAAAAAAAAAAAAAACCCTGTGCTCTTCTATCTGGTAACTCATTTTGTTGTTTGTTTTTATTTTTAGGCCTACACAAATGCACGTGCTGCTGTACTAAAAGAACAACTAGAGCGAAAGAGAAAGGAAGCTTATGAGAGAGAAAAGAAAGTGTGGGAAGAGCATGTAAGATTTAGCTCGTAGTCTTCATCCTGGTTGTGTTAACATTTTTATAGCTCTTCCTGGGTAGTGCATCCGTATTATGATTTTCTAATTCTTTTTATTTTCTGTTTTTTTCATTCTTATTCTCTCTCGCCCTTTGTCTTTACCTCTCTTTCTCGGTCTGTCTCTCTGTCTCTCTCGCATTTAAGAATAATCTGTATGGAAGTTATTTGGGAGATTGATCTGAAGTCAGAACCTAATTTATTTTATGTTTAAATTTTTAATTATTGCCAAGTAGCTTATCAAAATCCCAGCATAATTGAATGACTACATCATCCTTCTGCCACTGATTTATAATGCTACTTGTAAGATTTATTAAATTCCTATATATACCAGTGAATGAATTTATAGCAAGTATGAATCAAGCTATATCTTCCTTTGGGCTTTCTCCTTTGCTCCATTACTCTGTCTTTTCTGCCAGTACCTTAATGTACTGGTAATTACAGATTTAGAATATGCTTTAATTTCTGTAGAATGCTTTCCTCATTTCCCCTTTATTCCTTTCTACACTTATTATTCTTAGTTATTTGCTCTTTTTCTTTACCAGATAAATTTTTAGGGTAATTTTTGTTCCTTTTTTTCAATCCTCATGTAATTTTGATTAGTATTATAGTAAAGCTGCAAGTTAAGAAGAATTGACATAGTTGTAATAGTTTTTATACATGAAGTTCTTAGAGTTCTACATTTATTCGCTGTTTCTTTTCTATCTCTTACACAAATTTTGATTATTTTTCACACCTACCTGTTGTATTTATAGTTCCTAATTTCATTTCAATCTTTAAAGGTTTTTTTCCTAACAGAATATTGCTACTATTTGCAGACATTTTGGGTTTTTGCTTATCCTCTTGTCTAGTAAGTTTTCCTGTTCTGCCAATTTTCAGTTCATTTTCTGAGTTTTAGCACACAACTAGATCATTGGCAAATAGTTACAGTATACATTATAGTAACAACAGTTCCTATAGTTTATTGCTTATTGTATGCCAGGCATATTGTAACCACTGTACTGTTGACCCATGAACAACATGGTGGTTTGGGCACTGGCTCCATGCACAAAAATTCACATATAACATTTGACTTCCACAGACTTTACCACTTATAGCCTACTGTTGATCTGTAGCCTTGCCAATAATATAGAATAACATATATTTTGTACATTATATGTATTATATACTGTATTATTACAACAAAACTAGAGAAAAAATGTTATTAAGAAGATCATAAGAAAAAGAAAATATATTTACTATTCTTTTGTTTTTTGAAATGGAGTCTTGCACTGTTGCCTGGGCTGGAGTGCAGTGGCACGATCTCAGCTCACTGCAACCTCCGCCTCCCAGGTTCAAGCAATTTTTCTTGCCCCAGCCTCACACGTAGCTGGGATTACAGGTGCCCACCATGACGCCCAGCTAATTTTTTGTCTTTTTGGTAGAGATGGGGTTTCACTATGTTGGTCAGGCTGCTTAGTGATGCATAGGTCTCGAACTACTGACCTTGTGATGCACCCACTTTGGCCTCCCAAAGTTCTGGGATTATAGGTGTAAGCCACCACACCTGGTCTATATTTACTATTCTTTAAATGGAAGTGGATCATCATAAAGGTCTTCATCCTCCTTATCTTCAGGTGGAGTAGTCTGAGGAAGGAGAAGTAAGAGGGCTGGTCTTCCTGTCTCAGGTGGCAAAAGCAGAAAAAAAAATCCATGTGTAAATGGACTTGTGCTGGTCAAACCTGTGTTGTTCAAGGATTAACTATATATATTTTTTAATCCTTACAACTTTACAAAGCAAGGATAGAAAGGATAAAATAATTATATAAGATCATATTTCCAACTAAGGGCAGAAGAAAGATTTGAACCTGGATCTGCCCAATGTTGAAGTCTTTTTCTTACGCTGTTTCCCCTGCTTTCTGTAAGTTGTGCCTTAAAAAAATTTTTTTTTTACGTTTAATTTTTGTAAGCACATAGTAGATGAATATATTTATGGGATACATGAGATATTTTAATACAGAATGCATACTAATCACATTAGAGTAAATGGGATATCTGTCACCTCAAGCATTTATCCTTTCTTTGCATTTTGAACAATCCAGTTATACTTCGTTATTTTTAAGTGTACAGTAAAGTATTACTGACTGTAGTGACACTGTTGCGCTTTCAAATACTGGATCTCACTGATTTAATCTAACAGTATTTTTGTACCCATTAACCATTCCTGCTTTCATGCGCCCACTACCCTTACCAGCTTTTGGTAACTATGGTGTTCTGTTTCCATGAATTCAATTGTTTTCATTCTTTCAGTTTCCACAAGTAAGTGAGAACCTGCACAGTTTGTCTTTCTGTGCCTGGCTTATTTCACCTAATGTAATAGAACTCCAGTTCCATTCATGTTGTTTCAGATGACAGGATCTCCTTCTGTTTTATGGCTGAAGAGTACTCCATGGTGTATATGTCCCACATTTTCTGTATTCAATCATCTGTTGATAAACAATTAAGTTGCTTCCAGATCTGGGCTATTGTGAATAGTGCTACAATAAACATGGGAGTGCAGATATCTCTGATATACTTATTTCCTTTCTTTTGGGTATGTAGATAGCAGTGGGATTGCTAGATCATATGGTTAGTTCTATTTTTAGGTTTTTGAGGAACCTCCAAATGGTTCTCCATAGTGGCTGTACTAGTTCACAATCCCATCAACAGTGTATGAGTGTAAGAGGATTCCCGTTTCTCCACATAGTTGCCAGCATTTGTTATTGCCTGTCCTTTTGATAAAAGCCATTTTAACTGCAGCAAGATGATATCTCATTGTCATTTTGATTTGCACTTCTCTGATGATCAGTGATGTTGAGCACGTTTTCATATACCTGTTTACCATTTATATGTCATCTTTTTAGAAATGCCTATTCAGATCTTTTGCTCATTTTTAAATTGGATTATTAGATTTTTCCTGTTGAGTGGTTTAAGCTCCTTATATATTCTGGTTATGAATCCCTTGTCAGATGGGTAGTTTGCAAATGTTTTCTCTCCTTCTATGTGTTTTTTCTTCTCTCTGTTGATAGTTTCCTTTGCTGTGCAGAAGTCTTTTAACTATATATGATCCCATCTGTCCATTTTTGCTTAGGCTGCCTGTGCTTATGGGGTACTACTCAAGAAATCTTTGCTTAGGCCAGTGTCCTGGAGAGTTTCTCCACTGTTTTTTTTTTTTTTTTTTTTTAAGTAGTATTTTCATAGTTTGAGGCCTTAGATTTAAGTCTTTAATCCATTTTGATTTGATTTTTGTATGAGGCAAAAGATAGGAGCCTAGTTTCATTCTTCTGCATATGGATATCCAGTTTTCCCAGCACCATCTATTGAAGACACTGTCTTTTCTCCAATGTATATTCCTGGAACATTTCAAAAATGAGTTCATTGTAGATGTATGGACTTATTTCTGGGTACTCTATTCTGTTCCACTGGTCTATGTGTCTGCTTTTATGCCAGTACCATCTGTTTTGGTTACTATAGCTCTGTAGTATAATTTTAGGTCAGGTAAAGTGATTCCTACAGTTTTGTTCTTTTTGCCCAGGATAACTTTGGCTATTCCGGGTCTTTTGTGGTTCCATATGAATATTGGAGGAGTTGTTTTTTTAAAATTTTTTACAAAAAAAAAAAAACAGTGGTAATTGGATAGAAATTGAATTGATTCTGTAGATTGCTTTGGGCAGTATGGGCTTTTTTTCTTTTATTGTACTTTAGGTTCTGGGGTACATGTGCATATCATTCAGGGTTGTTGCATAGGTACATACATGGTAAGGTGATTTACTGCCTCTATACCCTAGTCACCTATATCTGTCATTTCTCCCCATGTTATCCCCCCAAACCTCCCCATCCCCTGCTGTCCCTCCCCTAGCCTCCCCGCAACAGACCACAGTGTGTGATGCTCCCCTCCCTGTGTCTGTGTGTTGTCATTGTTCAACACCCACTTAGGAGTGAGAACATGCAGTGTTTGATTTTCTGTTTTTGTGTCAGTTTGCTGAGAATGATGGTTTCCAGATTCATCCATGTCCCTACAAAGGACATGAACTCATCCTTTTTTATGGCTGCATAGTATTCCATGGTATATATGTGTCACATTTTCCATGTCTAGTCTATCATCGTTGGGCATTTGGGTTGGTTCCTCTTTGTATGTCTGTTAGAATTTGGCTGTGAACCTGTCTGGACCTGGACTTTCTTTTTGGTTGGTAGGCTATTAATTGCTGCCTCAACGTCAGCCCTTCTTACTAATCTATTCAGGGTTTCAACTTCTTCCGGATTTAGTGTTCGGAGGGTGCAAGTGTCCAGGAATTTGTCTGTTTCTTCCAGATTTACTGGTTTATGTGCACAGAGTTGTTTGTAGTAATCTCTGATGGTAGTTTATATTTCTTTTTTTTTTTTTATTGCATTTTAGGTTTTGGTGTACCTGTGAAGAACATGCAAGATAGTTGCATAGGTACACACGTGGCAGTGTGATTTGCTGCCTTCCTCCCCTTCACCTATATCTGGCATTTCTCCCCATGCTATCTCTCCCCAGATCCCGAACCCCTGCTGTCCCTCCCCTGTTTCCCCCAACAGACCCCAGTGTGTAGAGTGTATAGTGCTCCCCTCCCTGTGTCCATGTGTTCTCATTGTTCAACACCCACCTATGAGTGAGAACATGCAGTATTTCATTTTCTGTTCTTGTGTCAGTTTGCTGAGAATGATGGTCTCCAGGTTCATCCGTGTCCCTACAAAGGACACGAACTCATCGTTTTTGATGGCTGCATAATATTCCATGGTGTACATGTGCCACATTTTCCCTGTCCAGTCTATCATCGATTGGCATTTGGTTTGGTTCCATGTCTTTGCTATTGTAAACAGTGCTGCAATGAACATTTGTGTGCATATGTCCTTATAGTAGAACGATTTATAATCCTCTGGATATATACCCAGTAATGGGATTGCTGAGTCAAATGGAAT